ACCGTAGCTGTCCTATCTGCCGAGGTGGGGGCAGGTAAAGAAAAAAAGAAGAAAAGAAAAAGAGAAAAAAAGAAAAAAAGAGAAAAGAGAAAAAAAGAAAAAAGATACGTTGATCTGTGGGATGTGTTATCTGCTTTGTGATAATTGGATTATCTTTCTTTCCCTGTCAGGTTTGGTTTCCTCCTCCCTTTCTTTACCTCTTTGCCTTTTGGCTGCGTGCAAGTGGGTCCTTGTGACACACGGGGATGGGGGCAGCCAGCGCTCAACCTGTCATCCACGTGGCTGGCCTTGTACGTAAGAGGTTATGAACAGGTGGAGCTCTCCTTACCTCTTCCCCCTCCCCCTTTTTTCCTTTTCCTTTTTTCTTTCCCCTTTTTTGCGCTCTGATTCACAATGTGACAATATATATATATAGAGAGAGAGAGAGAGATTGATCGAAAGATATTCACGCAGATATTTCTAGATTTACGCTGTATGCCCATCTGCATGTCGAATTTTGCACCGGCATCCAAATGTTGTCAGCTCAGCTCAAAACAGCCAGCGCGTGCGATCGTCATAATCCAGGGCCGAGGTCCCGCTTACCTTACCTGGCTCCTTCACTTGTGGTAAGCTCGACGGTTCAGAAGTATGTTGATCTTCGTATACATAATCTACGGTCAGAAATGAATGATGAATCTACGGTCGGAAATGAACGATGAATCTCTCTACGGTCGGAAACGAATGATGAATCTACGGTCAGAAATGAACGATGAATCTGTCCACGGTCAGAAATGAATGAGTGAAGAATCTACAGACGGTCAGAAATGAATGAACAACCTACTCCATGGACGGTCGGAAATGAATGAATGAAGAATCCACTCTACGGATGGTCAGAAATGAAGGAATGAAGAATCCACTCCACGGACGGTCAGCAACGAATGAGGAATCTACGGTCTGAATCTATCTACGGTCAGAATGAATGAATGAACAATGTACTCCACGGACGGTCGGAAATGAATGAATGACGAATCTATCTACGTACGGTCAGAAATGAAGGCATGAAGAATCTACTCTACGGATGGTGAGAAATGAAGGAAGAATCAAGGTAAGCTAAGGTTAAGTAAGGTGAGCGGGACCTCGGCCCAGGGCAGGGATTTGTGCTTGCTTGTCCTTTTCTGGGTCTTGGATAACTTATTGCAGCAGCGCGCAGCGGCCGCAATACGGTAATTAAGAGTAGCCATGAAGACATGGTGACGATGATTGTAGGAACGCCTTTTTTTTTCGGTGAGCGATGCGGCTCGATTCTAATACAGTAAAACATGAGTGAAGAAGAAACAATTAGTAGCAATTACAGTTGGGATCTGCTTTTTTTTTTGGATTTTGTTTCGTTGCTTTGTTAGAAAAGAATCAGGGCGATTTACTTTTGCGCCCCCCGCTTTCCCCCGCGCCCGCCCTGGCCGCCCCGCCCTTCTTTCCGAAACTGGGAGGGGCTACATGAAAAAACCGACCCTAATGTGAAGAGCCGGCGGCTAAGGCTCGGTTTGAGGGTCGTGAGGCTCCACGTGTAAATGCTCAAATATTGAGCGGGTGGCAGGGGCGAGGGGGCCGGTGGGGATGGGCGGGCGCGGGACTTCATTTCCCGCCAAAAAAATTCTTACTCGATTTCACAAACCTTCTCTTCCTCTGTCCGAAGAAGGAAAAGAAGTGGAAGGCGGGAAGATGAAAGGTGCATCTCTCGCGCATTGTCCTCTTTCCCCGCGCTTTTCTCTCTTGCGCCGTGAGCGCATCTCTCGCGCACTCTGTTTTCTCCCCTATGTTCCGATATGTATGTTATACGATGCATGTGGGACGTGTCATCTGGGATTTGTTTTGTTGCCCCCTGTTCTGTATTATTTGGCTGTTCCCTTCCTCTTTGCTTTGCCTCTTTGCCTTCTGGCTGTGTGCAAGTGGGTCGATATGACACACGGGGGTGGGGGCAGCCGCCGCTCAACCTACATCCACGTGGGCGGCCTTGTACGCAAGAGGTTCTGAACAGGGGGAGTTGTAAGGAAGAAGATGTAAAAAAACGAATTCATTCTTTTTTTCTTTTTTTCGCTTTTGCGCTCTCATATTCATGTGATGATATATATGTCAGGACTGCATGATGCCACACTGTGATGGACGTCCTGCTGTTTTTTTTACATGTGGACAGCATGTCCTTTGTCAAGACTGTTTTGATGGAATGGTCCGTGCTAGCCGTCCTGCTTAATGCTGTGCTGGCGCAGCTCTCCTTGGGTATCCTTGTGAACATCCATGTCATCCTCAGCGTGACTGTCCTATCTGCCGGGGTGGGGGCTCCTCTTCCTGACTGGTCAATAGAATCAAGGAGGTCAGGAGCAACACTACTGGTAATTGTAGGACAGATGAAATTTTCGACACTACCAACAGATATGGAGTTGAAGAAAGAAGGAAGAAAAAATTGAAAAAACTAAAAAAAAAGAAGAAAAAAAGAACTAATTGCTGAAGAAAAAGAAAAGAAAAAAAGATAAAAAGAAAAAAAAGAAAAAAAGAAAAAATATGTTGAACTTTGTTGTGACAGTGGCAATTGGTTTATCTGTGGGATGTGTCATTTGCTTTGTTTGACTGGTAGGCCTTCCTCTTCTCTCGTCCTTTCTTTGAATGGATCCCTTTCTCTTTCTCTTGCCTCCGTGAGGTTTGGTTTCCTCCTCCTTTTCTTTACCTCTTTGGCTTTTGGCTGCGTGCAAGTGGGTCCTTGTGACGCATGGGGATGGGGGCAACCTGTCATCCATGTGCTGGCCTTGTACGTAAGAGGTGATGAACAGGTGGAGCTTTCCTTCCTGCGAGGCACATGGCCTCGGTATATGCCCTACTGGGCCCTGTCATCTGTAAGGTCGGCCGCCCTAAGTGAAGGCAGGCCCGACCTAGGCCTATTTTGGACTACCACGCAACTGGGGAAAATTCAGGCAGTTGCGCAGCGCCAGTTGGTTGAGAGCGCCCAGGCCCAGGCTGCTTTTCTCGTATGTAACTAAGGCAGGCCCTGGGCCAGAGACGCAACATGGGCCGAATACAGGCTACGGGCAGTTGGGCACGGGTAACCACCACAGGCCCTGGGCCTGATTCGTTCGGACTGGGGGCTCAGCCTCACGGGGCCTACTGGAAGCTTCTGGACCGAGGCCCAGTGCAGGCAGGCTGCACGCAGCAGGCAGGTCACTTTGATTTAGGAAAGTGCCTGCCCCAGCACTCCTCATTTGGGCACTGGCTGCATGTTGAGCAAGCGCTGCTGCACTAACGCTGGCCAGCGCTCACGGGCGAGCTGGGTGAGCAGGCAGCCATAGCCAAGCTGCGCTGCTGTATGCTGGATGAGGCGCATGGTGGTCCTTGGGTGCATGTGGCATCTGTGAGTGGGGGATCGAGGTTGTGAGTGATACGAGAGACATACCTG